TGAAATCAATCCTCAACTCCTGCTAGTGCCAGTGGACGTCAAATGCGATTTCGATTCATCAAGAAGTAGGTCGACTATTAACCCAATCTTCATTTGACTCATCACAGTTTCAATTTCGACTCCAATGATTCAAAGCGAAACTGATTTTGAACTGCGTTCTCCTCCAATTTGATTACGAATGTGAAACGAACATAGAAATATTAGTTAAAATTGAGTTTGACTCGATTATATTCAAAACCAGTCGAAATCATTATTGACTGCAAGTAACACACATTCGATTCCAAGCAACCAATTAGTCAAAATCTTTAATGTCGATTCTTCAGGTAACCATCAAAATCAAGGTATCGATCAATATTAAACACGTTTCGACTGGAAAACAGTCGAACTTAATCTTTGAAAGATCATCGTTTCCAACCTTTTATCCACTGGGTTTCGAATGGTGGGTAATGATGAACAGTAAACATATCAAGAATAATGGGCTCAATCAATGTGAACTCGACTCGAGAAAAAAAATGGTATGATTTTGGCTAAGTAATTGGATTACATGATTATTGAATGAAAATGATTTTGATTTTAGTTTGGGCTTGATCTATGAAAGAAAATAGATTGGATCTACAATTAGGCTTGAAACAAATTCGATCCAACCGAGACAAAACGATCAAAAATGAAAAACGCAAAATACGACTCGAAATCATGGATGTTTTGGAATCCATTTGAGAATTTGAGATTCCTTTTTGACGAATCGAGTTCTATTTTCAACGAACGAATCAAATGTAGAAGATCTTGGTTCTTTTTTTAGAATGAGAAAATCTCTAATTTGAACATTGTACCACCCACTATGCATGATGTACAACTCGTTCTTCATGTTCTTCGTGTTCTTCAACGATCCAAGAACATCTTCATAAGAACCACCAACACTTTTGGGTTTTGACTTCAAATTCAATGCAACATTTGGAGATTGTTTCTTTGGAACCCAAATTTGCTTCACGGATTTCGGCTTCACAACATTTGACGATTTTTGTGAGTAAACCCGCTTGTTTTTGCGTTTAATCTTCTTCTTCTTTTTCTTTCTCATCTTTTTGCATCTTAAAGATTTGATTTCATGAGCAAACCCACTTTTCACAACATCAACTTTTTGAGTTTAAATCAAATCTTTTGGAGTTTCATACTTGTGAATTTCTTGAATCACCGGCTTCTGATAAGGAATCATTCCTGCAAACGAATCACAAGAACACAAAATATCATCGGTTTGAACTCCAATTGAGCAAAAAACTTTTTCATCTTGAGAATCAACTTGAACTCCTTTTTCTTGAACACCAAGAACATCAAGAACATGATGATCATCATCAAGAACATGTTCTTGAGCCTTACGACAATTTGCATAATATTCAAGTCTATTTCTTCCCAGTTTACAATTAGCAAGAAAAATTCCTTTTATGACTTCACCATTTCTCTTATTTCTTCGTCTTTCTTGATACGTTGTAATCAATTGATCAAACAAATCTTTGTTTTGATAAATTGGATGACCAATGAATTCTCCTTTTTCATTCCTTTCTCCATTTGAAATAAGTGCATCTTCATTTTGCAATCCAACAGTCAAGCGATAAAGAATAACTTCAAAAGAAGTGTATTCATATAGAAAATTATCACCCCGAATAAACCAATTCTCCATAATTGCTTCTTTTCTTTCGAATCAAACGATATGAACTTGGGTTTTCTAGAGAGAGAAAGTGGTACAAACAAGTATTCTAGAGAGAGAAAGTCGAATTATGGATCAAATCAAGGACAAATTCGACTTCTAGAACACACAACACTCTCTAAAAACGAAGATCAATAAGAACATGAAGAATCACCAAATCTAGATTGCCACCATGGATCAATTCTTGATCAAATCAATAACACCCTCTCTGATACCAATTGTAGTGGTGTTGATTATGATGGCTTGTGCAGAATAAGAAAAGATCTAGTGAATCATCATCTAAACTCAAGAACACAAAGAGTAAATAAATATGTGTAAGCTCATATTAGATCTAGAAAGGATATACAAATGGGTTTGTACAAATTTCTCTCTCTAGTATAACACTCCAAAATGATCATCTCTAAATATGAGTGTCACTCACTTCCTCTTTATTGGAAAGACAACTCATTTACACATCAATAAGGGTAAGCGACATCCAAGCGTGACTTTGCACCCTAACTATATATATATATATATATATATATATATATATATATATATATATATATATATATATATATATATATATATATTCAATGAAGATAATCTTTTTAAGTAACGGTGGAAGTCACGATCTTGGAGTCAGATGCAATCAATATGAAAATCTAGCTACGAATAAAAGAAACAAAATTTTGAAAAAATGGGTAACATGTTATTAGAGACATCAAAATTAGTTCTTTTTGACTTATAAAGTGCATATTTTACCTGAAATGAAATGGATGTTGTTTACATCATAAATAAGTAATGGTGATATATAAAAATTAAATTAAAAATTGAAGAAATTAATAAACGAAACTAACCATTGGAGAAGTATACAAACGATTTTCTTCAAAAGTGAGAGAAAAATCAACATAATAAAACAAGACTTCGATGTTTGATTCATATGTTTTACAAATTCACCACTCATCTTTGACCAAATCTAAGGGGTAGCACGAGGCTACACCCTTGATAAATAGATTCACGGTTTAATGAAAACAATGATTTGGTTTTGATTTATAAAGCCAAGATTCCTGACTACAAACACTAGAAAACAAAAACAAAATCTAAAAAAGGTAAGATTCTGCATGGTGATGTATTCAATGCACTCAAGATAAGATAAAAGTGTGCTCATTTATCAAAAAATAAAAATAAATTATTATGTGGTTTTCAACATATGTAATTATTTATGATTACAAAAACAGAAAGAAAAAATTAATTGATGTTCAATATATGCTATCTATCGTTCAAAATATATACAATCACTAATGATTACATATGAAAACATATAATGGTTACTAAAAACATAAGTACATATAAAAATATAACATAATCACATATGATTAACATTCCATAACATAATTCATAGAAACAAACTTACATAATAAAATCCTACATATAAACTTGTTTAGAATATCCATCACCATAAAACCAAACATTGTTCAGAATATCCATAACCATAAACACAACATATAGCAACATCAACAAACTTGTTCTTAAAACATCAACATTAGAAAAAGCATCTAATCACCCATCATCCAGTAACTTCTAAAATCAGAAAATCTTCAATAAAAAAAAACTTGACAACCTTGTTTCTATATTCCATTGAGCATTATATGAATGCTCAACAAGAATCTTCGGATCAACTTTTTGATACTCATACGCAGCTTTCAACACATCATCATGCTTCGTATTAATCTCAAAAGTTAAAATTGTTGCTGCATATTTCATTCTCAACTTCTCCATAATTGTTTCTTGAGAAGGACCTTCTTTTGGAAGACTGCATTTCCATTTAGAACCTTTTTCTTCAAAATAACTCTCCATATCCCTCGTAGAAAAAACACCACAATCCACTTTGTTGAAAACTGTCCTCCGTGGCATTATCAATCTTATTGGTCTAAGATATTTATCACCCATTTCATTTTCTTCAACATGCTTGATCTCTTTTAGATGCTTCAAGAAAAACTTTTTCTGAAAATGATATATGATTTGAACTCAGAAAAATAAAAGTATAATAATTATAAAACATGTCATATATGATTCGAAATCTGAAAATTAAATATGATTTGAAACTTACAAGAGGGTTAAAACTGCACCATACTTATCATCGAAAACAGCATCATCTGCACCATTGCCAATAACCTCAAAAGCTGGTTTCTTCAGATTGATAACAATAAGATATATGTGCTTTTGCCTCACAACAGGGAAAAACACTTGACATCAACATGTATAATATTAGAAAGAAAACATTAATATATATATATATATATATATATATATATATATATATATATATATACATGTATAAAAAAACTAAATATACCATATCAACATCCTTCAAAACCTTCAAGTCTCTATCACCAGAAATACTGATAGATTAGTTGTCCTTGAAAACTTTATATTTTCTGATTTCCTTCAAATGATTATATTCAAGTGACAAAGTCTATAATATAAAAAAATCAGAAGTGATTATATAATAAAATGTAAATATTTAATATAAAAAATTATTAATGATTATCAAAATATGAAAAGAAAAAACACAAAATAAAATCTTACAGTATCAACATTCATGAACAATTTGAGTGGAGAATTAACAACATCTCTGAATTTCTCTTCATGATTTAGTATACGAGACCATGAATCAAGAACACTTACATGCAAATAGGTTTTTTTTTTATAAAAACTTACATAATTAGCTCTAAAACCAATAAGATCTTATTCCACAAGCAAGACCATATCCCTGTAGATATTTATTTAAATGTTATTAAAAATAAAAAATTATAATTATATAAATAAAAAATTATATTTAAAAAAATTACCCTGGATTTCCTCGAAGACTGAAAAGCCATTGACAAACAAAGATTTCTACTTTTGTCAACCTTGGTTTAAAATCAATTAACCTTTCCTTAAAAGGTGACTTATAAACATAAGGAAACTTCATTTATCTTTTTTCCTTTGACATTTACTTATCATGTTCCTTCTTACTTTATATCTTTAGGTTTACCAAACTTTTCTTTTGATGGACTTTTTTCATTTATCACTTTAGCTTGGTCAGAAATTGGTTTTGATGGTCCTTTTACTGTACCCAAAGTGGGTGCAAAAGAAACTAGATTAGCATCCATAACATCAACATTTGGAATCCTTTAGCTTGGTCAGAAATTGTTTTGTCCTATTTCAATGATTGAGTATCATTTGAATCCTTCCATTGTGTAATTTGTAAACCTTATTTAGCAGTTTCTACCCAAAAAAATATAAAAATCATATATGAATAAACAATAATTATAAACTAATTACCTCCATCTTTACTTTTATTTGAATAATCTTCTATTGCTTTCCCTAAATCTGAATCAACTTTAACACCTTCACCTTCTACCACACCTTTTCCATCCTTCTTTGCTTTAGAAATTTCAACTAACACTTCAGCACAACCTTTAAATAAAATTGGATCAGTTAATTCATCTTCTTTCTTCTTTTCTACAATAACTTTATCAACAGTATGATATGGAATTACTTATTTGTTATGATCATCCTCACCCAAATTTACAGTCCCTAAATTATTAAAATCATAAGTGAATCATCTATATAACATAGTCATATATATTTTATGTATAAAAATACATAAATAAATACTTACCATCATCAAATTCATTTTTCTCAAAACCAGTCAAATTGTCATTCACATCATCTTCAACTAGTTTCTGATTTATACAACCGTCAACCAAGTTTTCAGTACCTATAAAATTCAAATATAAAAAATTAAAATCATACATTATTAAACTATATATAACAAAAACATATGCTTACCTCGATCCAAACTTTTAAGAAAACTTTCAACAACTGGATTGCACATGAACTACCTAAAAGATACACCTTCCTGGCTATCAATTAGACCAGCACTCTTAGTAACATTTTCGATAATAGAACTTAAATTCATGTCTTCTTCATCATTGCATCCACTTCCATTTCCTTGTTCATCATCTTCATTGCCAAAATTTCCCATCATAACATCATCACTTTTATCATCATCTTTGCCATTCAAGAAATCATTATTTTTACCAATATGGTCCTCATATGCATGATCATTAACATCACCTTCAGCACCATTAACTTTACCTTCAATATCATTTTTACCAATATGGTTCTCATGTGTACGATTTCCACCCCCCTCAGTGCCACCACATTTCCCTTGATCATCATCTTTAACATTTTCATGATCATTCAGAAAATCATTTCCATAATCTTCATCATCATTTACTTTTGTGCTTTCTTCATCATCATTAACTTGACCAAAAGTAGGTGTCAATATTGGTTCTTTAATTTGTTATGAAACATAATGGAAATCCAAATTTTCTATGCTTAAATCTTCAACAGAAAATAATAATTTCCAAATTTTCAAATTTTGAATTTGAGGAAACTTCAACACTCCCTGATTTATCTTTACAACAAGATCCTTTTTCAAATCCTCCATCTTCTAATATATATATATATATATATATATATATATATATATATATATATATATATATATATATATATATATATATATATATATATATATATGAAATTTTAGTTTCATACACCTACATAAAAAAAAGATACTTAAAAATAAATACTTAATCATAAAAATTCATAAATGAATAGACTAATGAAATCATTTATGAATATAACTATAAAATTACCTCCACAACACTAACTTTCCACTTAAATTTTTGTTTTGAATCTTTTCAGGATTTTTCAACAACAGTGTTCTTACCAACCCGTTCTTTGCTTGTTGCTTTTGATGACACATTTGGTTTTGGAAATTGTTGTGGTTTGAAAATTGTACTATCAGATTTAGCAATAAATACAGAAGAAACTTTCTTAGGAGAGTTAGTTTTCAAAGAATGAGTCTCAACAGTGACCTTTTCAGATTAGGACTGACAAACTTATTTTTAACAATCAGACTAGGAAGATTTGATGGCCTTTTAAGAATCTTAATAGGCGCAAAGGTATTGTGGTTCTTAGTGATTGGGCTAACTGTCTGCAACACATTCTTTTTGGATCTCTCAATGAATCTGGAATTTTTCCTTGACCCAATTTCCTTCTTAAGGGCATTTTTGGCTTCGATATTAGGGTTGAAAACATCTTTCTTATTTAACCAAGTTTTCTTTTGAGAGTCAGATGATGACTTGGAAGTTTGTCCAGATGATGGATTGTCAAACTTAGGCTTAATTGGAACTAGAGTTGTTTTTTAGATCACTTTAGAATCAGAGACACACGGGTCAGATGAATCAGCACATACAATTTCATCATCAACGTCACTATCTAATGATGCCCAAATGAAGTTTGATTTGTCAGATTCATGTCCAGTTGTCTCAGGGATTGCTTCCTCAACAACACAATTGTTCAGAGGACCGAAGTTCAGAATTTTAACTTCAGTACAGATGATGTCAGGGAATGATCTAGGGGTATCAGAGGCATAAGAGGCGTGGAATCAGGAGATTTGAAAACTATAGGTTGGAACTTAGGAATCAGAGAATAGAACTAGTCTGAAGTCTCAGGAAGGGGCGACAGTGGCAAGACAGGGGTATCCGAATGTTTGAGGTTCGTAACGTCTCCCATAAAAGTTAGATTTTGCAACTCTTTCAAAGGACGAACAACGGGTTTTGGAAACTAGCTTCCGAGATCTGGTGCTTTGGACCATGGGTGACTAAAATTATGTGTCATCCGTTCGTTTGCTTCAAGAATACCAATTGAATGATGTAAAACATCAATTTTGGCATTAAGACGTTTGTTATCAAAAACTAAAACATTTCTTTCACAAAAGGTGATTTCACATCTGTCTTTTAAAATGATACATTCATCTTGAGATTTTACAAGTTCTCTTTCTAGTGATTCTATCTTAAGCTTTCGATCTTCAAAGCGGAATCTAAGGCGAGTAAGTTCACTCTCCAGATTCTCACTTACTTCTATGGCAGAGTCATAGGCTTTATGGATGATGGTCATATTTGATTGGATCTGGGTTAGATATGGTTCACAAAGAAATAAATCAAAATTATTTTCAGTAATCATAGATTTTACCTGATGAATGATGCTCCTGCCTGGTGGATCATTGGTTGCCATGTAGCAAAAGTTCAGCTCAACATCTTCATCGTCTCCTTTTGAACCTGATGACCAGTAGCCTTCATCATATTCGATTGATTGTCTTGCCATAAGACATACATTCCTTCCAGTAGTCACTTCATCATCATCTCAAGAAGACCAATAGCCTTCAACATCTCTTGAAATAGTATTAACAAAAGCATTCTCACTTCTTGCTAGCTCTTGAGCTCTGGGAGCATAGTATGCAGAATCTTTAACCTTCAGGTTCTGAGAGGTTTCCGCCAAACAGTCTTTGGCAAAATGGTTACCATGTCCACACTTATGACAAAATATCTTGGGTTTGTCTGACTTCAGAATTACATGGTATTCCAAGGGGTGACTTGATGAGGAGATGTTGGGTTTGTAAGTAGGTAGGTTTATGAGGGTTTAGGATATGGTTGAGGATTATTTTGATGAGGGGTTTGGAATCAGTTTTGATAAGGTTTATGATTGGGATTCCATGGACGCTTGTATTTCATGAACAATAGAGAAAACTCCTGTTTGAAGCGAAGTTCAAACTCAGCTGGATCGAGATCAAGAATTTCTGAATGATTCAGAACAGGTGGAGTAGGTGGAGTAGGAAATGTTGGTTGAATAGGTGAAACAGGTGGGGTAGTTCCGAAGGGATATGACCCTGTTGGGTTCGGAATTAGTGGGTTAACACAACTAACCAAGGCAAGAGGACCTCCTGACAGTTCTCTTAACATTTGTGCAATGTTAGATTCGTGGCCTTGTAGTTCGTCAAAGAGTTGATAAAGCTTTAGCTTCTTCAGAGATCCATTACTCTGAAGAAATGACTTGATGTTTCCCCAACCTTTTCTGAGGCTATTGATAAAATTCAGATTGTACACAAGAGGTGTTCTGATTAAACTGTGTGCAGTTTACAACAATTCAGTACCTATTCGAAGCCGAGGCTATGGATTCACCTGGAGTGGTGGTGAAGGTATCAAAATCGTTGACAACCGAAGTCAGACGTTTATCTTTCATATTCTCGGAACCTTCGAACAGGTTCTGAAGAGTGTCCCAAATTTCTTTTGCAGATTTGCACAACTTAATGTTCTTAAAGAGAGATGGAGGAACACCAAATACCATCTCGGAAAATGAAATCTGGTCAGCATGTAACTTTTTGTTGTCTATAGCAGTAAGAGGTGTTGGACATTGTTCTTCTTGGCCCATGAGAGTTGCAGCAACATCTCTCACCGTTTTTCTGACTGGAGCATGAGGACCTTCTTTCACAGACCTCTATATTTCTTCACCTTCTTCCTTGCCAAGTAAAAATCTTTCCATCATGACTTTCCAGTGATCATACTCTTTAACAACTAGCAATGGGGCGTGAGAAGGGTAACCCATGCTATTTTCTATTTTAAGTTTGATTAGGAGAAGCCATTGAAGTTAAAGTATTAGAGAAGAAGTGGTATATATAGAAGAACTTTTATCTTGAACATAGAGATGACTGAGATACCAAGGTAATCTCAGATAAACTATAATCTGTTCTTATGGATTCAAAGGATAACCACTCAAGCTCTGATACTAATTGTGAGAACAAGATTCAATGTGCGGACAAGGTTTGAAAACTCGAACCTTGAATTAACCTTTAGGATCAATGTTTGCTTCTAATAAGTTGGTCCAGTCAAGTATGGTAAACCAATCAAGACTTGAAGATAATATTCAACAAATTGTTCAAGTAAAAATGAAGTAATATCGAGTATGAACAAAGTAAAGACGATTTTAAAACAATTAGAATGTAAGTGAAAGAAATTTAACTTGCAAGAGAGTTTTTAATTAATGTTAAGAGAATATTGATTACTAGCTATTATTGGTGTTTAATTCATGAAACATCTACTCCTTAAATAGTAAAGAAGAGACATAGTACAAACTGAGAAAACATTCTAAGGACTAGTTAATACAAAGTGTTTGACAATTCTGAAACTTAAAAGATTTACTTAATTTATTCCTAAGAACTGTTACATCACTAAAGACAAAAAGCATTAAATGCTTGTATAGACTCAAACTTCCGGAATAACTTCATCTCGGATTCAAAACGACTTTGAAGCTCTTCACATTTCGGGCTGATGAATTGACATTGGCTTTGCTTTGGTTTGGATTGCTAGAGGTTCACTTATTATGTATTAACATAAACGAGAATGATACAAGAGTACCTTTTGACCGGTAGTGAATACCTTTCGCGAGATCATCTTGTCATGGAAAGATTTCGTTTTCACCTTGTATATAGCTTCATTTTCATATGCGTCATTTAGGATTTCTTACAATTCTAGGACATCTAATCTTGTTTTCTTTCCAGCTTCATCTATACCCATGTTCATCTTTTTGACAACCTAATACTGTAACGCCCGCAGATTCGAGCTAGTCAATTTAGAGATAATAAGCGTCAAAAATGACTTTTTGATAGAAGATTATTTAGCATAAATAATCTTAACCAAAGTTATAGTATATGTCACAAGGATTCCTTACAAATAAAGAACGCTGAAATCCAATTTATAACGAAGAAGTTATGACCCCTCGAAGTTTCACGATTAAACCGACACGACACCTTATCGTAAAAAGTGAATTCTTGATAAATTAGTTTTTAGCCTTAGTAATCTAAACTAAAGTCATAGTATTCATTAAACCGAGAGCATGCATATAGAGAACGCCCAAATCTGATTTCACAAGAGGAAGTTATGATTTTTCGAAGTTTCAGCGTAGTAGTATACAACTCAGAAATCGAATTTCAGATCGGTCAATTTTTAGCCAAAATGATCTAAATGAGAATTGAATATCTCATTAATAGGAGTTCAACGATAAAAAGACAGTCGAAACCGGAGTCCGTATGTAGAAGTTATGAATTTTACACGGTCGTTAACAGTGTAATTTTCTTAGACTGTTAAATTTAAAATTGGTTGAGAATTATCCAATGGGATCAAAAGCAAAGTTGTAGATCTTGTAAATACCTACGCGTGGATATAGAGAACGTCAAAAACATAGTTTGTATGTGAAAGTTATGAACTTTTTTTTAAAATTGGTTGTTTTACCTGCGTCCTTCGCCACGTGTCAGCACCAGGCGAAGCCGTGGTGCCTACGCAAGCTCATGGCGTGAGAGGCACGTCTCACGATGTGAAGAGCCCCTAAACAGCCTATATATACAGCCGAAAATCACTCCATTCTTCACACCTTTCAATTCCATTCTCTCCCAAACCCCCCAAGGTCCTAAGACCTTTTCTCTAGCACCTCCTAGGTGTTAGTAACGAAGCCCGGAGCGCCGGAAAGCCCCGAGGAGAAGAGCATTCAGCTCATAAGTTCTTCTCCCGTAGAGCCTAGTTTCTCGTTAAACCTCTCTAAGTGAATTATGCTTACCATACTTTAAGTATAACTTATGTTAAGTTCATTATCGTTATTATGAACCTATAAGCAAGATTTATCAGTGATTCCAAGTCGTTATACTAATTGATCTACTTAGGGGGATGATGTATAGACTGTGATTTAGTGAGGTGTTTAAGGTGGGATTTCCAAACAGTATACTTCGTATACCAAACGAACCCTACCTCCGATATGATCCCACCTGGTTGTTCCTTATTTGATAGATCATGAAAGTAGACTTAGAGTTAATGATTAATATAGATTAATAATTAGTCGTCATAAATATTAGACTAAAACTTAGTTAAAATGACACTAGGTTACGTCAACAGCAAAGACAATTGCTAGAAGCGAAGCGCTGCCCGAATTAAGAATCATCACTTTAACAAGTGAGTGCATAGTTACTTTCATCTTACACATAGATATGAAGTATCTGGATAATTATATGCTTATGTTCTTATTATCTATGTCGATAATATTATGTGTTAGATAAGATATTATGAGATGATGTTTATCTGATTTAATCATATAAGTATTATATACTTATAAATATGTATTGGGTAGCAACGGGTGATGAGAGATAGGTGATGATAACCAGGTGATGATAGATAGGTGTTGATAAATAGGTAATGATAAATAAGGTGATGCGATATGGGAGATGATTAAAAGATGCCATAACCTTGATCTGCGATGTTGCGATGTAGTCATCTACCAGAGTATACATGGCGACCACTAACTAATCTAAAAAAGTCATGTGGAAACACCGACGGGCTCATAACTTGCAGGTGATGAATTACGAATTGAGGCGATGTAGTAACTACGTATTAATGCGATGATACTCTAACCCTTACTGGACACGTATTGAGGGAGTAATCCCCGAATCAGTACTGTCTATGTGATGTAGGGAATGATCCTTAGGAAAGGTCCTTAGGAACAAACATATAAGGAAACGCGATGTAAGGCGATGAGAGGTAAATACGATGTAGGAGATGACCCTTAGGATAAATCTTGAGTGAAGAATAAATAAAGAAAATGGGGATGGGTAATCGGGTTAATTGTTTGACATGAAATATGTGAAGAAACAAATTAAATATATTATTGTGGGTTGAAAACCCTATGTACTCACCAGGTTTCCCAACTTGAACCACTCAGTCTATTGTATCACAGGTAGCAGTATAAAAGATACATTCTGTTGAGAGATTCAAGGAGTATTAGGCCACTAGTTTAATTACTGTAAGGCTTGTAATATTTCATTATGATGTTTCTGTATTGACGATGCCATCCCAATGTTTTAATATAAATAAAATACATTTCTTCGGAAATGATTTGATAATATCTATATCATGTTTTTTGGGAACAAATTCCGCAATATTATTATTTAAAATGGATACTCTGATTTTAAAATAAGCATAAATAATAATTTTAAAAATGACCGTGAATATGGGGATTTCACAGTTGGTATTAGAGCATTAGTTTAAGCGAACTAGGAGTAATGATTTATTTCTATACTTAAACTTAAAATGCTAAGCGATGATTGAGAGATGAGTGTCTGCTATATTTAGGAAGTATGCCTGAATAGACACGAGTACTAGCTTATTTAGGGAAGATGCCTGAATTGCTTTCATGTGCTAAATGATTTATGTATAGCTATAAAATGCCTTATATGCCTTATGATGCTATTATTTGATCGGATCTATGGTCTATTGCCGACCGGATCTAGAAATTTTATGTGTTCAGATATCTAAACGTTTGATTACGATATTAGAACTGGAATTTAACTTTTCGGAGTAATATGGAGATTTATGTCTATCGTAAATAAATCTTTCCATATCTTAATTCTCGTCACTGCACACCGAACTTCTAATTTGGCGTATAGATTGACATGGTGAGAACTCGAAGTGGATTAGGAAACGGTAATAAGTAGCCTGAGCCACGAATGATTGAGCGTGCACCAGAGGTAGCAGCTGCACCCAAGCCAATCACGATGGCAGGAGTCCAAGCAATGATTCAGGCTATGATGGCCGAACAAAGGGAGGAGATGAGACAAATGTTGCTTAATAATAGGGATGAACCTACTATACCTGTTGTACAACTTGAACTGAACATTGAAAAAAATATAAGAAGGAAACTATAGTGAGACTTTCAGTCAAGCTGAGCCATGAGTGGTTAGAAGAAACCAACCTAATGGAGGAAATGATGGACGTGGATGTAAGTACAAGGATTTCATGGCATCCTAACCACCAAGTCTTTCCAGAAGCCCAACACCAGTGGAAGTCATGGATTGGATCTCCGAGATGGAGATGATGTTTGAAAGTTGTGACTGTAGCAACAAACAGAAGACCGCTCTCGCGACCACACTGTTGAAGACTGGGGTATTAAGATGGTGGAAACTACTAGCCGATACCATGCCCAAGGGAGAAGATAGCAAGATGTCTTCGGAAGACTTTTTGGTGCAACTAAAAAATGTAGTACTGCTCTAAGCATTATCTTCTGGAGTTCAACAACGAGTTTCAGAATCTGAAGAAGGGAAGGATGAGCGTCGCATGCTACAGGCTTTACGGAGAAAATGAAGCTTGTTCCTTATTTGGTTCCAACTGAACTCTCCAAGGTCAAAAAGTTTGCTAATGGATTGC